CGGTGGGCGTCTGGGGCGGGCAGAGCGGGAGGCAGAGGAGCGCGCGGCGGCGGCCCCGCAGCCGAGACGCATCTGCTGTGCGTTTGCTCCGGCCGGAGCATCAGCTAAGCCTGTTTCCTGACGCCTGACCCGCCCTGACCCTGCTCCCTCGTTAACAGGTGACAGACGCCATGCAGGAGTTGGTATGTCTGTCAGTAATTTTCAGCAGTGTCGGTTTCCTTTCTTAATAGGTAGCAAGTCCTCATTGGAGACACGTTTAAGAATGAAGACAGGCAAAACCAGAAAAAGTAGCTTTGCTGTCCAGAGGTGATTAGGCGTGGGTGAATTGATAGGGGCCGAGCTCCTCTGGGGAGCCCCTGGGGGGAACCTTCAAGGTTTTGAGAAGGGGAGGCGCAGGATCCGCCTGCTGCTCGAGGAGCAGTCCCAGAGGGCGCTGGGGAGATGCTTGAGGATGCTGTCCGCGGTAGCGCAGTGCCTTGGCCTAGGCCCACCGCGGTGGAGATGGGGAAGAGGGAAAAGGTCGAAAAGTATTTTGGAGGTAGAATTAACAAGACCTCTGCTGGGTATCTTTCCAAAAGAATTAAAAGAATCGTATCACAGAGATATATGCGCACCTATGTTTATAGCGGCACAGTTTGTAATAGCTAAAACTTGGAAACAGCCCATTTGCCCATCAGTTGGAAACTGGATAAAGAAGATGTGGAATTTTTTGTTTGTTTGTTTTTTGTTTTTTGAGACAGGGTCTCACTGTGTAGCTGAGACGGACCTGGAACTCACTATGTAGCCCAGACTGGTCTCGAACTCACAGCGATCCTCCTGCCTCAGCCTCCCGAGTGCTGGGATTACAGGCGTACGCCGCCACACCCAGCCACGAAGATGTGGTTTTTCTATAAAATGGAATATTAGCCATAAAGAATGAGAAATTTGATTCATTCATAGGAAAATGCATACATATTGATATACTCCTAAGTGAAATAAATAAGTCACACATGTATAAACACCGAATAGTTTCTCTGGTGTGATTAAGCTATAATGGTGCATAAGGTTCTAATGATATAATGGACAATGTGAAATAGGAAGAAAGGGGCTAAAGGTGTAGGGAAAGTGGGAAGGGTAGGGGAAAGCTAATAAGGGAAAAGAAAACAATACATGAGAAAATGAAAAATTGGAGATGAAGTGTTTGTAAATGGGGAGGGGGAGGAGGGGTGAAGGGAGGGCAGGGTCAAGGGGAAAAAATGAGAACCAAGACCTGTCGTGTAAAGGTACAAGATCCCAATAATGAATGAAACTGTACTGTATCCCTAAAATGTACCAATAAACTCAATGAGGAGAAAAGAAAAGAAATGGATTGGTGCCGGGCATGGTGGCCCACTCCCCGGGAGGATGAGGCAGGAGGATCACTGGAGTTTGAGGCTAGGGTGGCCTACGTAGTGAGTTGAAGACCAGCCTGAGCTACATGGAGAGACTCTGTCTCAAAAAAGGATTGGCAGGGAAAAGAGAGGAATCTGCTTTTTTAATTTTTGTTTTGAGCAACGGAGGAGATAGATGGTGGTGCCATTTGCTGAAGAAAGGGAGAAAAATCTGGTGAGAAAATCGTGAGTTTTATTTTGGGTGCATTAAATTTTAGATGCATGTTACTTATAAAATCAGGGTGTTGAGGAAGCGGTCAGATGTGCAGCCCTGGAACTTGGGGAGAGAGACTAGAGTTAAGTATTTGGGAATGGTCAGTGTGTGATGAATTCAGAAGTATGGGAAGGGCCCGGGATTTAACTCAGTGGTTCCACCGCCTGCCTCGAAAGCGCAAGGAGGCGAGTTCGATCCCGGTACCAAAAAAGTATGAGAAGGTGAAGGTCACTTAGGGAACGTGTGTAGAGAGAGAAGCAAACGGGTCTTGAACTCAAATACTTCTAGGACCAGTAGATAAAAGATGAGGAAAGTATGGGAAAAGCAGCATCTTCTTTCTGGGAGAATCAGTCCCCTTACCAGTGCTTCTGAAATGTTGCGGAAGTTGTCGTTTGGGGGCTGGGGGATATGTCACGGAGGTAGAGTGCTTGCCTAGCCTGTGCGAGGCCCTGCGTTTACCCCCAATGCCACACACCACACACACACTCACACACGGATCTAGCAACATGGAGGTGACTGCTTTCAGTCATTAGCGTTACTACCCACGGGTTAGAGTCTCGGAGGCCGGAAGTGGAGTAGTTGAATGTGGTTGTGATGTAAAGAAATTAGGGGTAAGTGCCCTTCAAGATACCTTATTTTTATCTTTCCCAAAACTAAATGTGTTACATGAAAAATGGTTTGTGTTATTCCTCGGTTACGGGTATGTTTGAGCATCTTGCTCGCATTTATAGGGCATTTGTGAATTTCTGTTCTTGCTCTCTAAGCCCATCTTTTTGTTGTTCTCTGATTGTCCAGAGTTCTTAAGATATTTAAAATCTGCAGCTCGACATTATGCAGAACTTTCCTCATATGTTTTTCGTTGTTTTTAAATTCCTATTTATTCAATGGATGCACTACAGTTTGCTCTGAACTATTTTTTATTATAAAATGTGTAGAGGAGGAACTAATATTTAAGTTGCAAGTCTGTGAGTACAGTTCATATCTGATGTGGGTTGCCCTGTCTTGAGACTACTGGTTCTCAGAAGTACTTGATGATCCTTCTCTCTTCTCATTCAACTGTAGATTTTTATTTGACTCTTTATCTTCACTTCCTTAAGTTGGCCCTCATCTTCCTGTTTCTTGTTTTTGAGACAGGGTCTTGATATGTGGTTCAGGCTAGCCTTGAACTGTAGTAACTCACTATGTAACCCATGCTGACCCTGAACTTTCAGTGATCCTCCTGCCTCAGCCTCCCGAGTGCTGAGGTCACAGGTGTGCACCACCACAGTGGTTTGGGCTTCCTGCCTTTACTCCTGCCTTTCTTTCAGTCTATTTGCTACACTGTTACCCATTGGAAGGGAAAGGGGAGGTAGAGCTTTTCTTTTATAAAAAAAATCGTGTAGCAGATCTTTTCTATATTATGTTCTGTATAAGAAAAAGTTTGTTGTTGTTATTTTTTGAGACAGGGTCTCACTATGTAGTTGAGACTGCCCTAGAACTCACTATGTAGCCTGGGCTGGTTTTGAACTCACTTGGACCCTCCTGCCTCAGCCTCCAGATTATGGGTGTGCGCCACCACGCCCGGCTAAGAAAAAGTTTTTGAAAGCTAGATTTCACTGAATGGATGAGTTGAAATTTAATTTGACCTTGGAAGGATGAAGAGTGTTTGGTGAGTGGAGAAGGTGGAGTTGAAATTGGAACCCATTGGAATGTCACTGTGAAACGTTTGGGCTGGGGCCCTTTGATGACTGCAGACCTGTGGAGGTAACAACTAGGTAAGAGAGGGTTAGCCCTGTCTGAAGACTGTGAGCTGTGGAGGGAGCGCGGTTGTGTGGTGGCAAAGAAGGCTGTGCAGGGGAGGGAGGACTGCAGCTTTATTCACAGTTATAAATACACTGTTTTGTTTTTTGTTTGTTTGTTTTTTGGTACTGGGATCAAACTCGGGTCCTTGCACTTGCGAGGCAGGCAGTGGAACCACTGAGCTAAATCCCCAGCCCTGTATTTTGTTTTTTTAATAAATGTCTTTGAGAGGATGGGTCTATTTTTTAAAAAATTGAAATACTCACATAATTGTTTTAAAGTGTATGATTGTAGCCAGGTGTGGTGATGCATGCCTGTAATCCAGTCATGCTGGGAAGCTGAGGCAAGAGGATCTCAGCCTGGACATCTTAGTGAGAGACCCTGTCTCAAAATTTAAAAAAAACTAAAAATATGTATTCATATTTTTAAAAATGCATATATATCTAGATATATCTCTATATATCTAGATATATATGTGGCTCAGTTCAAAGTCCATGAGTTCAGTCCTCAGTACTACCACCAAAACAAGTACATTAGTTTTCAGAGGTTTGTAGTATATTGGTGAGGCTGCACAACCATCACTGTTACCTGATTCCGTGACATTTCTGTCATAATAAAAAGAGGAAGCCTGTCGGCAGCCTCAGCTCTCCCCTCTCCTGGCACCCACTTTCTGTATCTGGATTTGCCAGTTTCTACACATTTCTACGGCGTGGGCCTTGTCTGACTTGGCACAGCATTTTCAGTGTCCTCCCATGTTGCGGTGTGATTCGGGACTTCTCTTGCTTGGCAGTGTTCCATCCCAGGAATGTACCGCCATCCTTATCCAGTGCTCAGCAGATGGGCACTGGGGTTGTTGCCACTTTTGTGCTATTATAAATAATGCTGGATTCTGTGTAAATATCCCCAGGTTTTTGCATGGACGTACGTTTTCCTTTCTCTTGGGTATGCGTCTGGGAGTAATTATGTGTTTAGCCTTTTGAGGACCTGCCAGACTTCCGCAAGGCTGCACAATTTTCACACCTATGAAACCATCAGCCAGTCAGGATAAAGAAAACGTCCCCACCATCCCCAGAGGTCCCTGTGCACTCTGCCCTCCTGTTCTTCCTCCTTACCCAAGCAACCACTGGCAGCTTCCTGTCACACAGACTACTAGCATTCTGTGTAAATGGAGTTGTGGAGCATGTAGTTGTTTTTTTTTAAACTGGCTTCTTTCACTCAATCATTTTGAGATTAATTCCTGTTATTGCATTTATCAGTAATGTATTCCTTGTTACTGATGGATGCTATTTCATTGTATGAATACATGGCAGTTTAATTATTTAATCTGTGAGTGGACATTTGGATCGATTCTTACGTGTGGGAGGAGTGGAGAGGAGGAGAGATAGGTGCTGGGGATCGAACCCAGAGCCTGGTGCTTGCTAAACTGAGAATATCGTCTGCCACTGGCCAGCATCCCCAACCCTGACTCCACACCACAGCTATATCCTCCCCGCTCCCCCCTTGCTCTCTTCCTTCGTTCCTTTTGGTTATTGAGACAGTGTCTCAGTACATAGTCAGGCCAACCTTGAACTCACTACGTAGCCCAGGTGGTCACGCGTTTGCAATTCTCCTGCCTCAGCCTCCTGACTGCTGAGATTACTGACTTGTACCACTTTGCCTGGCTTTTTGGGGGTGTGGGAGTGGTCTCACTATGCTGCCCAGACTGGTCTCAGACTCCTAGGTTTAAGTCATCTCCCTACTTCAGGCTCCCAGTTAGTGTTTCCAGCTTTTGGCTGTTAAACTTCTGTGAACAGGTTTGTGTACGGACTTTTATTTATCTTGGTAATTGCTTGGAATGGAGTGGCTGGGTCCTGTGATAGTTTTTATAAGAAACTGCCAAATTGTTTTGCAAAGTGGTTATACTATTTTACATTCCCACCAGCCAATTCATGAGAGTTCTAGTTGTTCACATTCTCTATAGTTGTTTATTTTTTTAAAGATAGAACATATATAGACACCTCTAATCCATCTCCCACATTAGTCTTTTTGTTCATTTTGCTCACCACAATACCAATACATATAGTTAGAAAACTCAAACACAGTAGTCAGGAATAAAATTAAAATTCAGATCCACTACCTAGAAGCAACTCTTACTAATCATTTTGACTTTCCTTCCCCAAAAAGCCTAAAAGAGCATACACTAGCAATTTTTTTTCCCTCTTCACTCACCCATATTGTATACAGAAGGAGTCAAAACATACACACTCTTCTGCACCTTCATGTTTTAACTTTCGATTTATTTTAGAGGTATTTCCATGTCAACACCCCAGCTCCCACCTCCCTTCCGTACACGGGATTGAACTCAGGATCTGTGCCAGCGAACTGAACTGCGTCCCCTGCCCCAGCACATTCTTTTTAATTACTACATTACAGTCTTAGAGCAAAACAGGCAGTTTTGCCATAAGAAAGCACAAGTTTGTTTCCAAGCAGTTGACATACATTTGGGAACTATCTGAGCAGAATGTGAATTTAAAATTTTTTTACACATGATTTCATTTGCTAGGAATACTAGGGAAGGCAGAAAACTACAACCTGTTAAATGCATAAACGGCTCAGATCCACAGCTAAAACATTTGTGGTGAGTCTTGCCTGCCCACATCTGGTAGGGCTTGCTGTGTACTCTGCACTCCCTTCACAGGCTGCAGAAATCACAGGCTGTGCCCTTCCAGTGCCCGCTTCCTTAGGTAAGGTGGCATATTTGTTAGGGTATTTGTGTTTCTTAACATTACCTTTTTATGTCACCAATGGGAGTTTTTCAGTGTTGTGCCAAAACCATACTTTTCTTATAAACTGTGTGGTTCTTTTTTTTTTTTTTTTTTTTTTTGGTACTGGGGATTGAACTCGGGTCCTTGGGCTTGCAAGGCAGGCCACCGAACCACTGAGCTAAATCCCCAACCTGTATGGTTCTTTTTTAAATTTTATGTTTTTATTGCCGCACCCCACCCGGCGGTTCTTACTAGGCAGTTTTACATCATAGGTGATTTTTTTTTTTTGTATTGCTTATGTCCCATTATAGAAAGACTGATTTGTTCCATAGTGTGAATGTGCTATAATTTTTAAATTTTTAAGTTTTATTATACTAAAGAACACATGTAATAAATGTTTTAAGTAATAGTAATAAGAGAGCAAGTAGCTACTTTTAGCTGCTGCCTAGTTTTAAGAAGTAGAAAATTATGAATCCTTTGGACTCTCTGTTCCCCCAACTGATCATTTTATACTTTGTTGAATACATGAAACATTTCCTATTAAGATTAGAAAGTGATAACACCCCCCCTACACACGTGCACACGTTGGTTTCCCTAATGTCGGTGTCCTAACTGCTAACTGCCCTGCCCCCCAGCAAGGATAAACACGTACTTGGGTGAGAAGTCATAACTATAGGTAGATTTGTGTATAAGTTAACATATACCTAGTTTGTCTTTTTAAAAAATGTATACATGTAATGGCTTTCTTGAGCTGTAAGTCACATAATATAAGTTTTACCATTTTACAATATAAATGAAAAACAAACCCTTCGTTTTGGTGCTGGGGATTGAACTCAGGTCCTTGCATATGCTGAGTGCACACTGTCCCACTGAGCTACACGCTAAGCCCCAGAATTTACCTAGGTCTTGAAACCATCCCCACATCTGCCACTAGAAAATTCACCAGGTGGATTTTTGTAGGTGGGTGAATTTTCTACATTATGCATCATTGGTCTAAAGAAAAAGCAGTTCTGTTAAGAATGTTTTATGAAGCTTATTTTTCTGTGAATGAAACATATTCAATAAAGTATTATTCTTTAAAAAGAAAAATGTTTTATGTTTTAAGATGCTTGTTTCCCCTTTGGAACCTCAGCTCCTGATAAAAAGACATGAAATGTATCCCCAGAGATACATCCCATCCCCTCCACCCCCTTACTGGGGATCGAACTCAGGACCTTGCAGGTGCAGGTGTAGTGCCACTGAGCTACATCCCAGCCCTCCCATAGATTTTATATAGTTTGAAGCACCAGCAAAAAGTTCCTACTTAATGAAATGCACAAAATTTATCTCAGTTTATGTATTCTCCGTGACTGTATGGCAGTTTGACATTCTTGATGTTTAAAATGTAAATTTTAAATATTCTTTCCTTTCCAACCTGGCTTTGCAGATAAGTTTTGTTTCCTCTGCTGGAGAGAAAACTTTTATGGCTTCACAACTGAAACAGAAGAATGTCGTATAAGTCAGAATCATCATTTCAGACAATTCTAATGATCTTTGTCTGAAAGTGACTTAAAGGAAATCACTAAGTTATATGGCCTCTTTACATAATTAAGACTGTTTCTATTTATTTGCTTATGGTTGTAATAGAGATTGAGCCCTGGAAGGCTGTACCACTGAGCTACTTGCAGCTCTTTTTATTTTGAGACAAGGTCTTGCTAAATGGCCCAAGCTGGCCTCAAACTTGAAATCCTTCTGCCTGTCCTCAGTAGCTCAGTGGCTGGGATTTACAGGTGTGTGGGGCTGCTATCTTAAATATCTTAGACCCCTTAAATGTCCCATGTAGCTCACTCTTCCATTAAAATGTTGAACGGGTAGGATAAAGAAATGGTAAAACTTAGCTAAATTCAGCTCTTCGTTTGTTGCATTAAGGGATAGAAACAGTGGATGATTTAGAATAACTTCATCCTAAACTCTTGTACATGCTAGTTTGCAAGGTTGGAGACTGGACTGGTTGAGTAATTCCTCAATCTGACCTTATTAACGAATCAATCTTTTGTTGTTTTGTTTGTTTGTTTGTTTGAGGCAGGATCTCACTACATAGTCGAGACTGACCTGGAACTCACTATGTAGCCAAGACTGATCTCGAACTCACAGCGATCCTCCTGAGTGCTGGGATTACAGGCGTGCGCCACCACGCCTGGCTAACGAATCAATCATAAACAATTTTACTTATCATAGGAAAGTGGGTATTT